ACCAGAAGCGGTTACAATAATATAATAACCCCAACTCAACTCAACTCATATCAAAAAAGAAAAAACGTTAACTTTGGTTGCACCGCAGCATATTTTTAGCATAAAAGGGTATAAAATGATATACCTATATCTCGATTTTGATCGGTCAGTTTGAATTCCAGCTATATGCTATGGTGGTTCAAAACAATGAACAATTTCCTCAGAGATTCTGGCGATGACTTTGGCAAAGATTCATACCAAATTTGATCGTGAAGATACCTTGTCAAGTAAAAAAGTTTTCCATACAAGCACTGCAGTTTGATTGCTGAATTTGTATGGCAGTTATATGCTATAGGTTCGCGATATTGTCGGTTACGAGATATGAGGAGCTTCTTGATAAGTAAACGACGTATGTGACATTTCAAGCCAATATTTCAAAAACTAAGAGACTAGTACGCGTATATACAGACGGGCATGGCTAAATCGACTCAGTTCATCACGCTGATTATTTGTATATATATAATTTAAAGGGTCTTCGACGTTTCTTTTTGGGTATTACAAACATAGTGGCAAACTTAATATACCATACCCTGTTTGGGGTATAAAAGTACTTCCACATTTAAAGTTAATAATCTACGGTTCTTCCGAACTTAACTCTATAACGAATCGCTTTAACAGACAATATTATTTTATATAATAGTAAAATGCTGAAAAAAATTGGAAGAGAACCAGCCAATAGATGCTTCCATTGGTCTTTAATCGCTTTACTCATTTCTGAGAAATGAGTGTTTCCTTGACTTCAAGTGTAGTTCAGTCTAGTTCACCATCTGAAAGAAAAAGTTTTTCAGCATCAAAGATGCTCTACTCATTAGAATAGAAAACATATAATGATGCAGAGATTCTCAAGAATAAAGTGGCATATTTAATATCAAATGAAAAAAATACAAAAAGTAGGAGAAAAACTTTTTAATTTTTAGCTCTATATTTTTTGCTAACTTGTATTTGTAGCGCTTTAAATACTTGCATTAAATCAATAATCTAATTTTTCACGAATATTTCAAATCAAACATCAATTCACAGCTTTGACGCTAATGGAACTATATTTAAGCATCGAACTACGACAATCCGAGGCCAACTGAATTTTGCAATCGCTGTGATTTCTCCATCCGTTAAAGCGATTTCTTCCGCGCCAAGAGGTTTGCTTGTCTGCAAATTTGTATGCATAATTTAATTACAAGCGCAGTGAAAGCACGCTCCTTTCGCCTGATTGGATGCGGTAGTTAAGCGATGAGATGATTTACAGCAGTATATGCAGGTATATGAGCACAAGCAAGTGGGAGTATTGAGATGAGTTATATTCAGTTGGGCGATTCGTGGATTTCGGATTATTGCATTGATCTTAGAACCACTGCAATATTTGTTTAATTTAAGTTTCAGTCGATGTTCTGGTAGGAAGTGTTTAATACTCCCGAATTAGTATCCATTATTTTTGTAATTATTAAGTATATTTGCCATTTTAGTTGACAGATGTACGAGTAAATATAATATTCCAGATTTGCTGAACTTAAAGGTTCTTTACAAGTATATTAATCTTTTGAGGATATTTTTACCTGAACACTTTAACTCTTTGATGTTTTTTGAGCTACTTTTAAATCAGTACATATTTTTCGACTCTGGTTGCAGTCCATGTCATTACTTTCGACTCGTTTTTGATGCATACATACTGAATCTATCTCACCTAAATTTTTTTTAATTCTTAAATCTTAATTCAGTATTAATTTCATTGAGTTCAGGTAAATTCCAGAGGCTGAGATATGGTATGCAGGAGCTTTTTTCCTTGTCTCCAGCACTCTTATACAACGAAATTATTGCCGATTTTATAATTAACCTTTACCGGGCTTTGCTTTCAATGTAGTAGAGATATAATCGTGTAAAAATACTTTAAACAACGGCGCAATGAATAGCATTTAACCGGGTCTAATTATACCCCAAATAAGAGTTTACCTATAACTATGTAAATAAAGGTCATAACCACAAACCCACAAGCTCAATAATGTAGAGTAGCTGAAGTTGGAAGTCACAGAGTAAACCAAGTGTAGTATCCACATATATACCATATAGTAGAAGAGCTGTTCATTGTGCAGTGAAATGCATAGATGTACACATGTGTGTACGTTATCCCCAGGACATTAACACTTGCAGTGTGAAATGGTTGCTTGTAGTCATAGTTCGTGTGAAGTATCAGCTGCTGTTATTCGAAATGCTCCGCTTGTATTAAATTGTATGCAAATTTAAATATAGCTTAAAATTTTTAACAACAATTATTGAACGCTTTTTTGCTACTAGTTTGTAAAGTAAACATTTTAACTCACACACAATCTCTATTTGTGTGTTTTCAGAGATATTTGAGACATAAAATGAGTATAAATTCATTTTTTAATATTTAAAATTTTATTTAGGACCGTTTTCTCAATGTCTGGTTAATATTATCCTGAACCGCTGGAAGCTTTAAAAGACAGAACCGTTTTTACCAAGTTGTGGTTAGGTGACCTACAGATTATGGCATGTGCATGCTCAGACGATGACTCTCCAAGGTCCCTCCAAGTATGAGCTGTTGATTGTAATGGGAAAGTCCTGCGCCTTACAATTTAAAATTTTTTACTTATTATCAGATAGAAAAAACCATAACTCGCCTCCAACTACTTGAAAAATTATATTTATGGACTTGTGGATTATGTAGAAAATTTATTGCTCAACATAAAAATTTCCTACGAGTTTTTCGTAAACCTAACCGTTTAAAAGATATTAAAGTTTAAAGTGTGACTATTTTAAGAAAAGTTAATTTTTTTTTAAATTTTTTAGCTCAATGAAAAAAAAGCTGATTTTAAATTTCGACGTTCATCGTCTTGTAGGAAACTAACTCCTCTACAAAAATTATATCATTTTTTTCATTAAATAAGCATTGATGTTTTACGATAAGTATCTCCTAAACGCTTAACTTTATCGAAAAATTATACAGGCCAGTTTTTAAGAGCATTCAATTTTCTACAAAATACTATTATTTTAATATTTTTTAAAGTAGTTGGAAGTGAGATATGCATTTTTCTATCTGATAATAAAAAAAAATTAAAAACTGTAAGGCAGAGGACCTTTCCGTTACAATTAAGAGGTCATACTTGCAGAGATTTTCTTAGAGGTGTCTTTTAGCCTATTTTTCAGAGATTTTAGTGAAAAAAACATTCGTTTTTTGACTCCCCCTAATATATATACATCCCATATGAGGATAGTAAAGCACCACTTAGTCTGAAACATTAAATAAATTATTACAAAATTTCTTTAAGGGGTTTAAATATAAATCAATATTATGTGTACACTAAATTTGAAAATTTTATTTTAAGTTTTTTTTTTAATATTCTTTGTCAAGAGCGTCGCAATATGTAAACGCTAAATTCGTTTTAGAAAATCGTACTAAGTGTGTATAAAACCCATATAGCGTAATATATTAAAAGCTATGCTACATTTAGTAATAAAATATGAAAATGAAACCTAAAATATTTCTAGTAAATAAACTCTTGCTGAATACTCCAAAAAAAAAATATAAATACTCGTAATATTTATATTAATATTTCAATATATAAATCAATCAAGTTGCTTCGCATTCATTAATTTCATGCAAAAATTTTCATATTACTTCGGATTTCTATTAAATACAAATATTTCCACTTTAAATACCTTAAATTTTCACACAAATACATATAACTACCTAAATAGGCCTTAAAACATTCGACGCACATGGCGTATACGCAACGTGATTTACACATGCATTATAGCCACTTGAATTATTTATGTATTTTACAAACTCTCAGCTTATTTCCTGCTCACTTTTATGTATTACTTTTGTATTTGTGCTATTTGCTTGATTTTCCCCCCTAAAACCCATCAGTTAGCGTTTGCAACAAGTTCATTGTCTGCCAGCTTCCAACAGATGTTTACGAAAAGCTTACCAACTAGCTAAGAGTATGAGTCAGTTTCTACATACGATGTGCTTAGCTTTATTTGCTGAATTTGTTGCTTTCTTCTTTACACTTTTGATCTGACAAGCTGTCAACGGATAGATGGACTAAGTGATTAAAAGTGGATTCGCTTTACTTATACATACGTATATACGAGTACAACTTTGTACATAAAGGTTGTGCTTAAAGGTAGGCCGCAGAATTTTTTATCAAACTTAATGCCACGACCCTTATCACCCATGTCGATGCTACTACAAATTTATACTCGTAGCATATATTTTGGCATATATGGTATATTTTCCTCTACTCCATAAAGTAGATAATTAACCTAAATAGCCTATTCTACCTTATGCAAGATGGAAATTATTATCGAACCTTTTTGGAAGTGGTACAAATTGAGTTAGAGAGCGAGAGTGACACTGAGTTACTGCGGTTTTATGGATCACCCTGAAAGTCATAATTTTTTTTTTAAATGCAAGTGCTTTATTTTTGCAGCATAAAAATTCATAATTTTTTTCGTATATACAAAATACAAGTATATTAGTTACAACAACAATAACAACAAAATACATCATTAGAGCAAATGTCACATTTTACAGGTTGTTAATAATTAACTAATTTTTCGAGAATTACATGTATATTGTTTCCAAGAGGGCACGTAAACTGTTTCATGAGTTCTCTAGAAACACATATACATATGTATAGCTTTAGGCATAACTTCGGTGCGCCTGTTTACTGTGGCGCTCGTTAGTTTGTATAAAGCTTTCAATTAACAAAAGAACACGAAAATGATTTTGGCACGGGATTAAAGAGTGCATCACTGCCAAAGGTAGGTAAAATGGTAGCAAAATCAACAACAAAAACAAATATCAATTGCTAATGTCAATAATTCATAAACGCGAATGAAAATGTGTGAATATGTAAAGTTTGATATAGATATTTTTATACTTGTATCATATCTATTAAAAATTACTAATTTTTGTAAATTTACTCTTTTTTTCATTGCAGCAACTACTAAAGGCAAGACAAGGCAATATAAGCGTTACCAAATAAACTTTTTTTGTAAGAAAAAAAAACCAAACGAAAACTCTTGTATAAAATGGCATTAAACGCTGAGGATATTGCTGAAATCAAGAAGACCTGGGCCATACCAGTTGCTACACCAACTGATTCCGGTGCGGCGATTTTGATCAGATTCTTCACAAAATATCCGTCCAATTTGGAGAAATTCCCATTCCGAGATGTGCCAATAGCGGAATTGCATGTGAGTACATGGATATGTGTATATATGTACATACGTTATGTTATCGGTTATTTCCGAAGTTTAAAGTTTTTGTTTGCAAAAAAGCATGAAGTTTCAGTTTTTGCCCTAAAAAATTATCCAACGTAAACAATCTCTTAATTTTTAATTTAAACCCTGCCTAAACTATATTTCTTTTTCAATGTATAAAACATGCAAAATTTCCCGGTTTACAAAAAAGGTCTTCATAGTTTTTGCCATAAAAACATTCCTTTAAAAGTTCTAAGCAATCAAAATTATGCATCAAATGTACCGTTCATTCATAGAAGTGATTTATACCATTTGTGTTGCTCATACAGCATGGTGTACTGTACGGAAAACGTATGGAAAAAGTGAAACGACATAGGCATGGTTTAAATTGAAAATAAAGAGCTTACGTAGGATTTTCTTTTTTAGGTCACACAATTAAACTTAACTTAAACTTCTATTATGATTCGTTAAAATTGCTTAAGTCGACTAAAATTAAAAACAACAATTTCTGTTATTATGACCAATTTATTGAATTGAAACGATATTTTAGAATATATAGCTTTAGATAACGAACAGATAAATACAGAAAATATGTTGAAAATTTTTATTGGAAAGCAATTAGTTTAAGCTGACTAACGGTTTTTTTAAATATAGCTAAATAGAAAATTCGCAAGTTTTTGTTAATATTTTCAGAACTAGTCTTAGCAATTTTTACTTCATATATAAAAATTTTATGTAAATAATTTCGTTTTATATATTACAGAACAGCGCACGTTTCCGTGCACACTGCGGTCGCATTATCAAGACTTTCGATCAGTCAATCAGCCAGCTGGAGGAAGATGGTGGTCTGCAAAAGATTCAAGAAATCTGGCAGGAAGTTGCTAGATCGCACGTGCAACGTCATAACATTGCCAAGTCATCATACTTTGTGAGTTATTAAAAAATTATTTCAAAAATTAAAATTTTTTTAAAAAAGAATTAAATCCAATTAAAAAAAGAAATATTAAAAAACAAAAAAAAAATAGAATTTCTTAAAACAAAATACAATTTTTTAATGAATATATATAATAAAAAATAAAAATATTAAAAAGACATTGCAAAAAATGCATATATAATTTTGAAAGTTTTTATCAATATATTTTTTAAAAATGAAGCTAATAAGAAAATTTAATTTGCTCCCGCAAAATTCACCAAAAAGCTTTTAAATGTTTAAATAAAAAAGTATAGTCAAATATTGGAAATAATTAGATATACGTATTTGTATGAATAATTTTAATTTTTTTTTAATGAAAATACTTATGTATTGTACATATGGATAAGAAAAATACAACAAAAATTATTTTAGATACGTTTAAAATAATTAAAGACTTAAAAAAAAGTTATTATTATTAAATAATATAAATATAAATTAAATTCTCGAAAATGATTAAAAAGCGTTTAATTAAAATAATTATTTTTATGTTAAAAAAACAACCAATCTTTTATTTATTCTTGGATAAAAATTTTTTTTATTTTTTTTTAACATATAATATATTGAAAAATTTATTTTTATTGTAAGATTTTGGGATTAAAAAATAGATTTTGATTTAAAAGGTAAAATAAAAAAAAATTTTAAATAGCGTAAATAATAGTTAAATTCAAAAAGTTTAAAATATAAAAGAAATTTTAAACACAATATATTTAAATTTCTAAGCAAGCAGAATATTATATATTTGTTTAATAATATTAATTAGAATATAAATCCTTTAAAATGTATAATAATAAATCTTATAAAATTTATTGTAAACAGAAATAAATTTACAATTTTTAAAATATCTTTTAAACCTATATTAATTAGAATTATTGAAACTTTAAAAAATTTTGAAAAACCAAAGAAATTATAAACAGTTTGCTTTATATTTTTGTTAATTAAATAGCCCAGCATAATTAATTAAAATCTTTTAAAGTAAAGTAAACGATTTTTTTTTAAATTTTATTGAAGTGAAATCCTATAAAATTATCAAAATAAGTTTTAAAGATAAAAAGTGATATGTGACTATAAAAGCAATTTTTATACTCTTGCAACAGATAATAATACCCTAACCTAACGGTTGTTTGTATCATCTTAACATAATCCGGATAGATTTAAGGTTATATACATATTGTATTGTATATACAAATAATAAGGATGACGAGACGAGTTGAATCCGAGTGACATTAAATTTTACTCTCAGGATAGTATGAGAGGATCGTATAGGATATATGAATATATTCGGATAAAACTTTTCACAAACAGTGCCTTTGAGGTATGCCATCTCAGGTCGAAATCGAACCATAACTTTTCAAGCCCCAAATACCGAATATCGGTCAATCTGTAAGATATGTGATTGAAATTTGGAGAAAATTTTTCTTTGACAATAATATACCCTTCTGTCACAAATGGGTTGAATCGGAACAACTCCTAAATATACTTAATATAAAGATTTTGAACTTCCAGTTGAACTTATACCCCATATATTGGCCACTGTGGGTGTTATCTCAATGCAATTGAGTGAGCCTATTTTTCTAATGACAGTGCATCTTTGTACCTAAAATGAAAAAAATCTGTTGAAAACGTGCCCTATCTCAATATAAGTACTATCAGAATTTTCTAACATCCGATTGACTTTACTCCTTATATATGTTATTGTTGATGATGTGGGAGGTACCTTAATGAAAGTCAGAGGCCATCTGTTCATATTTTTAATATGTAGTAATACCAAAAATAGATAAAATCGTGTCAATCTCTCATATACCTAATAAAAGATTTTCAAACTGCCGGTTGACCTTATACCGTATATTTCGGTCAATATGTAAGATAACTAAGCAAAATTAACTGAATATTGGATATTAGTTTAATGTAGAAAATATGTGAAATTATAAATATTATACTACATATAATAATTTCTGTTATTCTTACAAACCGCTGAATATGATTGGATTTGTCCAAGACCTTGGTCTCCTGTCCTTGATGTCATCAATTGCGATCTGCAGAGCAACTCCAGTATTACATTTAGCCTCTAAGGTTAAGTTTATGTCCGATATATTTCTTGGAGGATGATTTTAATATAATTTTTGATATTTAAATATTATATATTTAATATATATTAAAATGATCGATAGTTAAATATAGTTATAAAACTAATTGAGTCCTATGATATAACTTAATACAATACCAAATTTGACCTTAATTCATTCACGATTTCCTCGAACAATAAATGTTAAATTCTTTCGCAATACTTTTTAATATAAAGTTTTGCAAACACCTGAAGGTATTTTCCCGCATTTGAAGTTGCAAGAGTATGAAATGTTCGGTTACACCTGAACTTTGCTCTTCCTTGTTTGTTATATAATGATTTTTTTTTTCTTAATATCGTATGAAATGATGAAAAAAAATTTAAAGTTTGGCTTTTGAGCTATTAATAATATTTTTTTATTTTATTTAGATGTTTAATTATTTTGCATGATTTATTGTATAGTGAAAAGGAAAACTAATCCTTGTAGAGAATTCAACGTTCTACAAAAAAAAAACGTTCTGTTGCTAAGTGGATCTAAATCATAGAATATAATTTTTACGTTTATTTAATATTTTTTCAAAAAATAATGCTTCAAAATCATAAAATAGCTTTTTTTGTTTGACTTTTGTTGTTTTTATGCGATAAAATCATAAAAATTTTGTTATTTATTTATATAGACATTTTATGGTATAGTTATATAGGTAGAAGTATTAAAAATATTAGAAAACTTTATTAATGACTTTTATTACTGTTTTTTCAATATATTCAACCAAAACCAACTTCATTAGGAATGCAATTTATTCATATTTATTTTAATTTCATTCCATTCCATGCCATAGGAACTGCGCGAAGCCATTGTGGAGGTGTTGAGCGAAGCGTGTAATTTGAACGAGCGTCAAGCGCAAGCCTGGAACAAATTGCTTGACATTGTCTACGACATCATCTTCAAGAAGTACGATGACTTGGGCGCCCAATAATGGTGGAATCACGGGCAGGCGTCAGAGTGCTGAAGTTATACACAAACACACACACGTACACAATCGCTAACATGAGTGCCAGCTAGAATGCATGCAAAACCAATACAACAACAACGTTTCACATACTTTGTGAAATAACGCCAAACACACACCCACACACATTTAGGGAATATCAATATTGACGCTTTAACCTGCGCTTTAATTTGCGCTACAAAAATCTTTTATTGTGACCGCAAAGAAAAGAAAACCAAAAAATTAGAACAAAAATAAACCGAAAACGAAAACGAAAACTAAATGATAATGTCTTCAAACATATCTAAGAATTGAAAAAAATTAAAATTTAAACAAAATATTGGTATGTAACTGTAATAACCCGCTATCGCTAGTGTTAGCCATAACGCCTTTTCACCGACGCTGCGACCCAACTAAAGGCTGCAAGCTGCTGGTGGTGCTTTCTTGTCTTGTTTTGTTTTTGTGTACATTTTTGGTGGTTGTTGTTGTTATATAAATATCTAAACGCAGTGTTGTTGTTAATGTTGCATTTGTACATCCACCCATTAGTCCCTGCAATGCTTTGCAAACACATGCCCATATACACTCATCCACACATAGGTATAACTAAACCGAACAAAAACAAAAACAAAAGCCCTCAAATGTACATTGTACTCTTAATCTTTTCGTTTACCTCCAAATAAGATGTAAAGAGTTAAAATAAAGTAAATTTATAATAATTTTTTTGCTAATGGTTTCTAAACTTTGTAACTTTGTGAATAATGTAAAATATAAGAAAATAAAGAATAGTAAAAATAAAACATAATATAAAATATAAAATGTAAATATGAGTACTTTTTACCTTATGTATGAGCTGAGAGAGTTGTGTTTGTTTGAAATCATCTATTTAATATAGGCATCCTGTACAAACTGCCGTTTCTGCGACATGAAGCCGGAAACTCCCAAGCACCTGATGCTAGACTGCACAGCAGTCTGCAGACGCGGGATTAAGCCCCTTTTCAATCCATGTATCCGAATAGGGATCACATTGTCTTATTAGCACCTAGCAATATACTGGAATTTATCAATGTACTGGGTCCATATGAGTCGTTGTGACAGGGGAGAGGGTTTAATAGCCCTTAGGTCGCGGTGCAAACCTCAATTCATATCTTTCTATCTATCTACTTGAACTGTTCTGACATCTGCAGCGTCAGATGCTGAGAAAAATATACTGGTTGTGAGTCAGAAGTCACTTAGAAAGACACTTCATTCTATTAGGTTTAAGCTTCCATCAAAGTTTTCGCCTGAAAGCTCATTATAATCGCTTGCTAAAAGTTCAATCTTTGATCAAGATCACTGAATTGAACTTTAGATAAGGTTTATTAAAGAAATTACACAAACACAAAAAAAACACTTTTTGGTAACAAAGAATTTTCAAATTAGGATTTAAAAGCAGTCAGTTCACACGTTGGGTTTCGTTGGTGGGTGGTCTTAAATCAATTTCTACGGCAGGTTGGTAAAAAACTCTCAAACTCCACGAAAAAAGTTCTAACCAAGATCTATCAATGTTTCCAATTTTAATTGACAGTAAAAAAGTTGGCCATTCACATCCACGGCAAGCTCAAAAACAACTCGTACTAATTATTGACGATCGCTGAACCAATAGTACATTAAAGACAACAAAAATTATATTGTCTAAACAATATTCGATAGAACATACCTATTGTCCGTACAACGACCTACGTATGAAAAAAAAAATCAAAAATTTACTAAATGGTGGCGTTTCAAAAAAACTTGGATTTTACAAAAAATGTTAATTGTTTTTGGCCTGAGAGAACTATATACAGAAGATGAGGAAAACATTGTATACAAGTAGTGAACGGATCATTTGCCTCCGGTTAATCATTCCAGTAAATTAGAAAAGATATGGTTTAGGAAAAACGCCTTTTCTGGGGAATTTAATAAATAAACATATAATCATTGAAGAGTTAGGTGGAATTGAGGAATATCATGGAACAATGTCAACTCTTGTCTTTGTTCCTTTATTCTCGGTAGAATAGTACCTAACCGCATTCTATGTTATGAGACTGTATAATTTTGTAGGCAAAAACTATCTACTTCGACTTTCTTTTAAGACAATCGGGTCTATATATGGTAAATATAACGGAGTGTATTATATATTCTGCCTTGAAATGCATACTCATTACTCAGAATTATGTTTGGCATGTTTTCTGGTACTATAACAACAAAGTCAGCCTTACTTGCTAGATTTTAAGCTAAGGAAGAAGTGAATGGATCAGAATCCGATGAATAACGAATTGCTAGTGAGACAGAAAGATTGTTCTCTCAATTTACAACCAAATAACAAATAAAATATATGCAATTCTGTATTTATATTTCTGTACTTATTTTCAATGCGATATTAAGGTTTGTATGTGCAAGAAAATGTTTTCGAAAAAATGTCTAAATACGTATATATATATATTTAAAATAATTTTAAAATAAGTATGTAAAAAAAATTCTTTTTTAGTATTTAAAACAAATAAAAAGCATATTAAAAGTTAGTCATCCACTAACATTAAAAAACAAAATAAAAACTTTTTTTCGACCGTAATTCTGTCACATTTTGCTGCTATTGAAATGTGTGGTCTTAAAATAGAAATGACATTTTATTTTTCACGGTTCAATCTGGCAGATGCCCAAAATGTGATTGCGAAAAGCTCCAGCACCGAAGGCAGGCGAAGGCGATAGCACTTGCAATATTAAATATTCTTAATTGAGCTGCAAATAAATGCGATATAAACACAATGCTGTATTGAAATGTATATGAAAAGTAAAGAAACTCTCAGAATAAATTTAAAGTGATAATTTATATTTGTTGCAATTGTTGTAATAGTAAGAGAAAAAAAGAACTCAACACAGTAATACATACTGTACTATTATTACATATTTCTATATCAACACATTTCGGCAGCAGCAAAGTTAATGAGTCTCAACTGTAATGCATGGCGTATGAGTGCCGTGACGGTCAAAAATGGCGATTGGGTAAACGTTCATTCGGACCAAAATTTGTTGGTGTATGTTGTAGTTCAAAAATTTAGTGCACTCACATATATAAGTGAAAATGTTTTTTATTTTTTTACAATAGTTATGTCGGTTGCAAACTTCCTGACAAAATATACCCTGTTTAGGGTATAAAAATATAAGATAAAAGGGGAAATTAATCTGCAGTATTGTTTTTGAAAACTTGTTCACATCGCTCGGCTAAGTGGAAAAGAACGCATATTTCAATCGTGAGCGAAATCCAGTTTGTCTTACATTCAGATACAGCTTCTTTTACTATTGCTATATTTCAAATAAAATACTTAAATAATTAATAAAAATTCGCATAGAATGCATCAGACACAGTTTAAGCCGAATATTCAATAGACTTTCCAATATTTACAATGGAGTATAAGTTCAAAAAATTAACTTAAAAAGTTATAATAAGAACTGGTAAATATTGGCGCCAATTTTATACTTTCAGAAGCTTTCTTCATATTCAAAAAGTGAAGCAACCGTTAAAAGCTTCTTAACACAAATTTAACAGAAATGTTCCACCTTTTCGCTTGTTAGCATTTAGGCAATTTTCTTATCAAAATTTCATTTACAAAACATCGCACGCCTGCCACGAAATTTTATTAACACTTCTGCTGTGCTAAATTGCATAAAAGTCGACTGTTAATGAACATTACGAGCCAATATTATTTATCTTTTGCTGTCTTATACCATAGTTTTTAACAGCTGCAAAGCTACTACTACAGCACTGATAACCCAACAGCACGCATTGTTATTGTTCCACTCTTCGTGGGTGAGTGTGCGTGTGTTAAGCGTATTTTAATGAAGTTACAGCAGGGAAGTAACGAAAGTGGTTAATAACAGTAGTTTCAGTTCCGCGTTGGTTGCAGCCCTGTTTGCTTCGTGCTCTCTTTTTACCGGCATTACGTCGGCGGTTGTGTAGCGAGAATCAAACGACATCGGTGAAAATGTAATGAAATATACGTTTATTTAAAAAAAAAATATATATATTTATATATATAAACTAGTCGCAAATTGAGTGTTTTTATAAATATTATGAATTTAAATAAGTGTGTGAGCCAAATGTGAAAAATTTAAGTGCAAATTTTTGTGCATAATTTTTGGGTATCCAAACGACAGATGTGAATTCGATGATTAATTTCACTAATTCACACCTAACTGTGATTGAGTGGGCGTGTTTAAAGGGTTTAACATTTATATGAATCTTTCTTTGTCGGCGATTTGTACTACAATTGTGTGGTTTTGTGTACATTTTTTTAGTGTTTTTATTGTTAAGATAATAACAATATTCATCTTGGCTGTGGAGACTCAAATATGTTTTTTTTATATCAGGAGTAATAATATCAACCTTAAGTCGGCTAAATGAGTGTAACGAAAATTTAAAAGGTCAATCTATGCCGTTATATGTACATATAAAAATAAACTCTTACAATAACGGTTAAAAGTAAATAACATAGAAATCGAAAATATTAAATATTTCCTTTAGTGGTGAGTTCCCTTTATAAATTTTTATTTGCAAAAATATTTCTTCACGGACAGTCATTTTACATGGCCAGTAATGGATCTAGAATGAATTTTCTTTGCCCAAAATACAGAGCTTTTGTTTACTAATGCCGTCAGACAGTGTGAAAAGGGTGTCGTCGATAAACACATTGAGTTAACGCAATTTAAAGACTATTTGCAACGTCAAGTGTCAGTATTTCATCATCGTTTTTGATTTCATTTTTTAGGTGAAAAACTGAAAAAGTTTTTCGGAAAAAGTATCACTTTTTGTGTAAAAATAATATTTTAGACAAATGCATCAAAATAAAAATCCATAACATAAATATGACTGATATACGCCACAGCAATTGAAATATCCCTCAAATTCTATTTAACATTATCGTGTTATGGCATCTTTAAGCAAAGATAGAATTATAGAGCGATAGACTTTTTAACTTATAAGAGAATTTCACTTTATATTATATTAAGAAAAATCTCTAATCTAATAGCAGTAATGACAGATATACAGTTATGAATATAAGAGTTAATACCAAACCTTAATGAAACACCATTATTAAACGCTAAAGCCAATGAGGGATCAATTAACGGTTTTAATATTGAAAAATTTTAATTTGTACAAATAATAATTAACGGTGTTGAATTTCTAAGTTAAGAACGAGATGCTTAACAAATTATCATTTTGTAATTTTGCTAAAATATATCGAACTCTTATTACAGAAATGTTCAAAAATGTTTGGTTAAATACACAAGTTTATTTTAAATCATATAAAATGTTAAAGATTTAAAAGTTAATTAAAAATACTTCAATAATAACAAAAGTTGCAAAATTTAATATTCGATAAACTGATTGCACCACAAAGATGGGTAAGTGAACACAATTTTTTTTTTAGTAGTTCTATTAAATACGAGTGAAATCCGGGTGACTGTCTGTCTGGCCGTCCGTGCAAGCCATAACTTGTGTAAAAATTAAGATATTTTGTTGACTTTGTACACGTGGTTTGTGGGCACCCCAGGGAGGTTAGAATTGTAGATGGGCGTAATTGCCCCACTGTCATGCCCACAAAAAGTCAGTAAACGAAAACCTATACTGTGCCTACATAAGAATCATTCAATAGGGAAAGTCTTTATAGGAGCAGGTGTAAAAATTGAACAATGTGCTTAGCACCGCCCACCTTCAGGTGAAATCCTATAACTCAGGAGCTACTTAACCAATTTCAATCAAATTTGTTGTGTGAGGTTCCTATCATATACTAGGACAA